ATACATCTCCTTTCCCAGAGATGAAAGAAAGTTTACATCTTAGAATAACTCTCCATTTCCTTTTGCCCAAGCTCAGGTTCTGACTGGAGCTGATAAAAAGAATTTGCCATTCAGGCCACATGTTGAAGCAATTACCTCCATCTTTAAGTGTAGAATATGAACCAGGGAATTACTGACCAATGACAGAGGACTACAACCAGACTGGCAATCTGAAACTAGAATGAAATAATGGGCCATGGAAAGACATGTGAGAAAAAAATATGTTCCTTTGCCCTTTGATGCAAAAGACCTGAGCCTTGCCAGGAAGCCTGGATCATGAGTAACACTGTGCAGAGAGGAAGTGCTTACAGTAAAGTTTGAGTCCAGATTCAGTCCCCACTAATTAGACCATCTCTCTGAACCTCAGTCTTACATATAAAAAGAGGTTAATGTATCACTCCTTGCTGTGGTCTAAGACACTCAACATCAAACAAGATAAACATGAAAAAACTAGTTATTTGTGCCTCATGAATCTCCCAGAGGGAATTTTAGAGAATATTTGGGAAATGCCTGCTTTCTTCACACATGCAGTGTCTCACCTCCTTGAATGGATTTGTGCTTCTTCCAGATCATATACATGGCCCTGTTTAATATTCTCTCTCTGAGACAGAAATACCTTTTTACTAGCTAGGCACTGATCAAGTGTCCTAGGCCCCCAAACCCCCTGCTCAACATCTTAACTTACACAGGCCATTTGTATGATAGTGAATTTTTAAAACACAAGAATAATTTTACAATTCTAGGTGGTAGTAGAGTTGGACGACGTAGAGTCCATATTATATCCTGTAAGAAAAGTCCATATTATAACATGTAAGAAAAACATGCCCATCAACCTTCCCAGATCAACTGCCATTAGCCAGTTATAGAAGCTCATGTCCACTGACTCCCAATCCCCTACACTGTCACTCTGCATGCTTCACCTAAAAGGCATCCAAAGCAATGAAGCTGACCAAACCCAGAAACTCTGGGTCAGGTTCTCTGTGGCTGACGCCCTATGTAAAACCTCTGATCCACTAGGTGCCATGAGCTTCTTCCCTGAGATCATGCTCCTCTGGAGAAGGGTCAGTGATCAAGGCAAAGAAGCTCAATGTGCAGGAATGAATCAGATCTCAGAAAATCCACAGAAGCCACTTTAGAAAAAGCCATATGGCTTGAAATATACCAACAGACCCAGAGGAGCTTTTCCTGATAGAGATTTTGTCACCAGCACAGTCTGAGCAAATCAGAGGAAGTCACTGACTCAGGCTATATTCCTGGGGTGCAATTCTGGGCCCTGGGTTCAGATGGCTTCATTATGTAGCTGGGTAAATGTGCAGATGTGCTCAAGAACCAGATATAGTCCCCATTAACTCTTGATGGGAGCACCTTCAGAGCTCTATATCTAGGCCCAGACAGTTCCAGACCAATGAAGCTGACTCAGGTTGTCCCTCATGTATACACTTCCTAAGAAATGTCTTCTCTTAATAGGGAAAGTTTTCTGGAAAAGCCAGATATGCTCAATGAGTCTGAGACCATAATTGAAGAAGGTACTTCTTCAGGCAGTTCCCAAGGGTACTCAGAGCGTCTCCCTTCCCACCCTGCACCCAGCAGAGGGTCGCAGACAAGAAATATTATTTTGTGCTCAAATGTGTCCCCAGTCTATGTTCTGCTCATATGGACCTTCCCCTGTGCTGACGCTCTCTGTTTCTGGTTTGCCTGTCTAATCCCAAAATGGGGGTCTTCATGTTCTCTCCTTCTGGAGGCTCAATGAGTTCACATACAGATGAAAACAGCTGGGAGCTGAGAGATGAACAATAAGCAAGGACTGAGTTGGGCTAGGCTGAGAGGTGCCTGGCTCATGAGTTGGGTGAGAAATAACTCTTCCTTTTGGCCTCCTGAAGGAGGTTGACATTGGGTATGAGAGCAGCTGTGGGATGGGCTTGCTTGAACCTGAGGACAGGATCTGGGCTATGCTTATTTGGGGTTCCTTAAGTCCCCCAGTGATATTTCAGTCAGCAATGGGAGCAAAGTCTAGAGTAGACTTCAGATTGGAGGCTTGCAGGCTAGTCTTGATCTATAGATGTGTACTCTGATTCACATGACATTTTAAATTAGTCAGCAATATAGAAAAATTAATACTTTTAAATCTTTAATTTAAGACTTTTAGCTTTTTGTGAAAAATAGGACTATCTAGCATTATGCAGCTCATACAGGCAGTCAACTGGAATTGAATAATAATTGCCACCATTAGGATGCATTCAATGTGCAGAGTATCAGAAGCAGCATCCCTAGGGATGCACTGTGTCTGCAGGCAGTCAGAAGGACCCGCTGGAGACAGGAAAAGGGTCTCGTTCAGATAAGCCAGGCTTAGATCAGGGCAGGAATGGTCTAAGGCTAGCAGAAGGAGGCAATTGTTTGCCTCCATTCTCTGCCTCTAGGCCATGAGTCATTCCTGCTCCTAATACCAGAAGCCAAGAGCCCTGCAGCTCAGGATATCTTTGCCAATTTGAACAGGTCTCCGCCTGCCCCCAGTTCAGAGGACATATAAATACTCTAAGCTGTAGATGGCATTACACCACTGCTGTGGTACAAGAATCAAGTGTCTATACAGAGAACTTCAAGTAGATTTCAGGAAAGCAATAGCATGTGCAAAAACTTGAGATGCTCAAATAGGTCCCATGTCTTAAACAAACAATGTGTCAAGAAATTTTACATTTGAAAGATTGAGAGAACACAATGAAACCTTATGGGCACAAAAATAACTTGGTCAAGCTCAGGAAGATCTTAAAACCCAAAAGTGGCAAATAAAGAGCTACCATATTTCCAAATATACCAGGTCACAACATCCACCTCTATGTATGGTACATGCAAATTATCTCAACTCATTACACACAAGAAAGAAGATCTAGAATAAACAGATACAAAGGGTAATTGATCTTAAGACTTTTTAAAAAGTCTAAAATGCCATCCAGGGGGTAATGCCAGACACTCTCCATGTGGTGCTGGGCACCTACATCAAACTCCTTGACACAGAGACTCTGAGGATGGAGCAGAAACACAGCCAAAGAGAGATGTAGAACAGTCCAGAAGAGAAGCCAGGGCAGCCAGGCAGATAACTCAGGCACTACAATGCATCCATTCTCTGACCTCTGATTATGTGGTTACTCACCAGACACCACGTTCCTGAAATATCAACCTTCTGACATTTTTCTCATGTGTTCCCTCTGCATTCAAATTTTTGTGGTTTCTTTTTGGATTATTCACAACACTCCATCATCTTCCTCCATTATCCTTTCCATCTCAAAACCACACTTGTGCAGACTTGAAAATATAATCTTAGTGCAATGTTTTATGCACTCTTCATGAAAATGCTCCCTTGCCATTTCAGATTTTTCCCATCACACTATTTTCCTTCCTGAGTCTTCAAAAGAAACATTCATGACAACAACAACAAAAGAATTGACTCCTATTCCTACTCAGATTTTCAGGGAATATTGTAAACAAGAGAAATGACAAATGAATCTAAAAAGAAAGCCAACAACAGGATAACTTACTAATCAGTTATGAAAAGATAAACTAACAACAATCTCTGAGTTGTTGACACAGTTTTTATGAAGACATATGAATAAAAAAATTGACTCCCCCCCCTTTTTTTCTTTAAGTTCTTCAAATGAAACTCTGGAACTAAGGCATTTTATTTTAAGACCAAAGGTAAAATGCAAAGCCTATATTTATTACTATACTGTCAAGAAAAATTTTAATTTTAGGCTGATCACAACAATAAAGAATTTTGGAGCTTGAGGGAAAGTTTATAAGCAGTTATCTAATTGAATCCACTCATTTTAAAGGAATGATTTTTGTTCTTTGAAGAAATAGTGAGGACCTTTTATATGCCAAGTACCATACTGGGAGTTACAAAGCATATACACATAAATTTTAGGAATGGTTTAATTTAAAAAAAAACTGAAAATTCAAGAATAATTTAAGTTAATGTTAATAGTTTAATTTAAAAATCTCGGGCTGGGGATGTGGCTCAAGCGGTAGCGCACTCGCCTGGCATGCGTGCGGCCCGGGTTCGATCCTCAGCACCACATACAAAAAACAAAGATGGCTGTGTCTGCCAAGAACTAAAAAATAAATATTAAGATTCTCTCTCTCTCTCTCTCTTTCTCTTAAAAAAATAAAAAATAAAAATCTAATTAACATCTAAAGTTGAGCACCTAAAGTTGTAATAACTTCAGCTCATTTTACAATAAAGTAAAACTATTCAGGAAAAGAATGGTTACATCAAATATGATAGTTTCACTAAAAAAATAATATTGTAAATGACAGTAACCATGACTATCTATACAGCAAAAGTTTTTAAATGGAAAAAAGTCACCATATTCTATTAATCACACAAAACCTGAGAGCAGAATTGTATCCCTGTATGATCATGGCTTTGTAAATTATGTGAAAACATAATGAACACATCCAAAAGAAAAGAAGGAAAGGACATTATTTGAACATTAGGGAAGCAGCTAAATTTTTTTTCATTTTGATGCCTATTAAATTATATTAAGATGTTCTTCATGTAATGATTTGTATGGAAGAAAACCACAGAGTGAGAGGGAGTAAAATGAGAGTGGCAAAAGAGCAGAAAATAAGCTGACAAATTGACATTCTAAAACCCAGGTGCCACTAGCAGTCAAACTGTGGTTCCTGTGATAAGAGCAGGGTGACACAGCCAGTGGAGCTCTCAGCACCAGGCCTGGAGAAAGTATGGCCTAGGAATCCGTCTAACCAGCTCAGCAGGTTATTCCTCTCAGGCTGGCCCTTCTCCACCCTCACTCTCAGGCTGGTTTCACCTGCTGTCTAAACACTGCACACTGAGCAGCCAGCTCTACCTCCAGGCGGGCTGGGAAAGTAAGCAGAGCACAGAAGAGGGCTTTAACACAGGAGCTGATTCAAGCCCAGTGCCCTTCCACTCCACCTGACCTTACCTGTTGAAGCATTTCTTCAGCAGCATTGAGTTTCACCTGGTGTCCTTCCAGACACACTTCTAAGTCCCGAATCTTCTCTCCTTGGGCTTCCACTTGGTCTGTGAGAACGCTCACCTGTTCCAGGAAATAAAGCACCAAACAATAGAGTGGCAGGGACTGTATGAGAGCAAAGTTTCCCCACTGAGTATGAGCAGTGAAAGTGCAACACTGACTCATGTGTGAGGAGGAACAGCTTTTCTTTTAGGTGAGTAGGTGGGGGAAGTGTCCTGGATGAAGGCAACACTAGTTGGATTCTTACCTTACCAGGTAGTCTTGGTCAATGCCCATACGATGTTGGTCACATTCCTGCTCTTGACAGACTCCAGAGAAAAGCACCCAACAGCCAGGAGAGCTGCCTCTAGGTTGGACTCCTGCTCCTGATTCCTCTAACAGAGCAGTGCGACCTCAAGGCATATCTCAGCTGGCTTGCCAGAGCTTCTGCCACCTCATGTGGAAGAGCAATCCAAACCTCTATGGAAACCAACCAATGACCTAACCTCTCTCATAAGGGTGTGAGGACTACTCACCTATCAAGCAAGTGTTTTGAAGTAATTAAGGAATGTGGGATGCAAAGGGCATGTATTAGCACTGACAAAACTTGGCTCCAGAGAGGTTTTTGTGCTTCACAGGCCAAAACATGACTTTAAGTCATTCATACACAGAAGCCACACTGCATATATGTGGTAGAAAAGAGTCATTTTTCTGAGGAACCATGAGATTCTCTATGGAAAACATTAATAAAAACCCACTTATAATAAGTTATTTAAATTATGCCCTAAATACATACTGTGAGGGTTTTCATAGTCTTCTATTTCTTTTCCTTCCTTCCTTCCTTCCTTCCTCCTTCCTTCCTTCCTTCCTTCCTTCCTTCCTTCCTTCCTTCCTTCCTTCCTTTCTTTCATTAGGAGATACCTCAAATCAGGAAGATGAATAATAGGTGGCCCCCCAAAAGCAATCAATAATTGGTAATACTTTTTGGGTGGAGTCATTGTTGTTCACAAATAGATTATTCTAAATTATTTCTCAATCTATAATGGAATGATAGATGGAGCATGAAAGAGATAATGTGAGTTAATTTATGAGTTTAAAAACTGTACAACTTAGAAAGTTTCCATTTAAAAAGAAATAAATCTAAACTAACAGGCTTTAATCCTTCCATGTTTATGTTCTCAAATAATGAATGAATTATTGAAACATATTCCTGACATTGATGCATGGTTTGTTAATATTTCAATTTTAATTAAAAAATTGGGCTCCTTCTGTCAACTAAACCCATCTTAAACAATAAACCTTTTTTGTGTTTTTGTTGCTTGTTTTTTTCCTTGTTCAATACTGTTGGTACCCATTTCAACTACTAATTCCACTTTCAAAAGAGTAGGATTCTGGGGGATTGGTTCTGCTTTCTGGGACTCAAGAGTTCTTGTTTGGAAAGAATGTTTTATGGTTAATCCCATTATGAGGATTAACACCTATGTGTCTACACTATGCCTTGGGGCCATGTGCTAGTGATACCCTGAGGAAGAATATATAGTCTCCAGAATTCTATAGCTCATAGTTCAGCTGCACATAAGACTAAAGGGAACTCGAGACTTCTACACTAAGTATTATGAATAGTGAGGTGTAGAAAATAAACACAAAACATATAAAGTTCCTACAATGTAACCTTCATTCAATAAAGACAAATATATTTTGAACCCCTTCTACATACTGAGCATAATATTAGGTAAAGAGGGATACAAAAGGGGGTGGGGGAATGAAAATCTTTGCCTTAAAGGAATTACACTATAATTTAGACAAAGATTTTTATTTTGCTTCTTATTAATCCTAGAAGCAAACTATTTTGTTATATGTTTGTCTTGTGTTCTATGAATAGAAAAATAAATAGGAACACATCCTGGACCAAGGACTCAAATTAATTCAGTCTGGCTAAACTGCTATGGGAATTAAGCAAGAGGCTATACCCCACTGAGGATCTGTCTAACCAACTCCATAGGCCCCCAAGGAACAGGAACAGGAGCGAGCATGTAAAAGCTGCTTTGAGAGTCTGTCTACAAGCTTGCCTAGAAACCACTGGGGTCAACTTCTGCTTCCTGGAAAGTAGCTTCCCAACTGTGTTAAGATTATCTCAACAGGGATTATTCAAGAATTTGAAATTTTTTTAAAAAATGAATGTAACAGCATTTTGACACAGGATTTCTTAATTAAATTATAATCCTCTCTAAATAGAAACGTGTTATTTCAATCACAAAGGGTCCCAGTTCAAAAGTTCGCAATTTCATACTGTTTACTACAAAATTCTAAATTGAATACTTCTTTATTAATCATGTCATTAGGATGGAGTTTCAAAGTAGACATTCTTCAAAACATCTGTGCAGTAAAATCTGGCCATGCTATTCTCAGATGGCTCCCTACTTCTTCAAAGTAGGGACTGTAGACATGATGGCCCTTGCTGTTCTTTCTGCACACTAAGCATACTCCTGCCTCAGTGTGTGGGCTGGACTGACTACTGCCTCTGCTGGAATGTACTTCTCCAAGTATCAGCACAGCTCCCCTCTTAGCTTCCTCCTAACAAGGAGTCCTTCCCTAACTTCCTTATCTGGCTTCACTTTCCTCCTGAATACTTATCACCACCAGAAATATTTTATTTATTGGTTTGTTTATTACTGTCCTCTCCCTACCCCATCCTACTCCCTGCCTCTCTCTATTTCTCTACAAGAACAGGGACTTGATCTATTTTGTTCACTGTTGTATACCCAGCACCTAAAACCAGTATCTGACAGATGACTTGTAGATACTCAATTATTTTATAATGAATGAGTTATTTTAAAATCATTGGAGTAAAAAGAACAAAAGTAGGGTGCAAATCTCCTTCTCTATTCCACCGCCAGTCTTATTCATCACCCTTCAAGCCTTTTAAGGAGATATGATTAGGATATTAATCTTTATATTCTCCAATTGTCAATTAATGTCTGATGTATACCAGACCTCAAATCTTGCTAAATTGATTTACGTATTTGAGGCTAACACAGCAGAGCTCCTGCTTCAGTAATAGCCTTCCTGTGAGAATGTCTAACTTCATATAATATCAACACAGGTTTTCAGAAGTGAAAAAGTTTCTTTGGCTCACTTTCTCTATGGGAAGTTTAGGAGTTCCTCTGTTTGAAGCAAGAAAGCCACCAAAGGCTTAGCCCATTTTACCAGCTCCAGGGGATTTGGCATCAATGTGATCAGTCTAGATTTAGCTTCAGACACTTTGGACTTGATTCTGTTAGCATTTACTCTGAGGCCTGCATCACTCAGAGACATTTTATTAGTGATTTGAAGATGATCTCATCTCCCTTACAAGACTGTGATCCTAAGGACAGGACCCATTTTGTTCATTCTTAGCACCAGGTCATCAGCCTGGCCACAAGTGTGTAGAGGCAGGTGCTTAGTGGTGTATAATATAAATGAATGAATCACAGTCCTCAAAAGTCAAGTCTGCTAAACTGTGCTTCCCAGTTACTTTCTGCTTTTAGAAAAAGACTGTTTGAAAAACATACACTCTGGGAGCAGGAATATTCCAACAGAGAAAGCCCCTATCGCTTGGGGAATATACAGAGCTACAGGTAACAGGTAAACTAGTTTCCATCCAAAAGCACCCACCTGTAATATGAGGGACTCCTTATCTCCTTCTAGACGTGCCAAGCGTTCCTGGTAGGTTTCATTACTAGCAGCACCATGGTGATTTGCCTGGGACTAAAGAGAGGGAAAAGAATACAATTACAAAGCTAGAAAAACATTACCTGCTTTCAAATGGAGTGTGTAGTGTATGCAATTTGTGAAGACAGTTTCATTGATTATATGTGCAAAACCATCTACAAAAACAGGAAGCCACAGATTACAAAACTACTAAAAGGAAGATCAGACCACATGCCACTGAAAGGTGTGTTCCTTGGAAGTGGTGCAACCACCCTGATGACCTCACCCTTGGCTTGGAGGCCTCCACAAAGCTCCAGGCCAGCAGTGCTTGGCTTGACTGGACGTGCTGGGTCTGGTTCAGCTAAAGGCACAGCCTGCCAGAGTCAAAGCAACAATGAGGGTCTATTCTTTTTTAGGATGGTACTAGGGATTGAACCCTGGAGTACTTTACCACTGAGCTGCATCCCCAGCCCCTTTTATTTTTTTGAGACAGGGTTTCACTAAGTTGCTTAAGGCCTTGCTAATTTGCTGAAGTTGGCCTTGGATTTGTGATCCTCCTGCCTCAGTCTCCAGAGTGGCTGGGATTACAGGAATTGCCTCTGCATCCATTGAGGGTCTGCTCTTTGAGACCAAGGGAGTTGGTACCATTCATTAAGGAACTGTGTGGGAACAACTCCTACACAGATCTTGGGAATTTTCACAGCAAGATTCTTCAGAGCCCATGCACACCTTGCAGCATGGAGGCCCATCCTGAACATCATTCTACATACACATCCCATCCCACCGAAATTCTAACCCTGATTAAGACTTTGGCAGCCAGATTGGCATACCATATTTCTGTAGCATAGAAAGAGAAGCAAGCTACATAGAAACATCTTGAGTAGAACCTAAATAAGAGATAGAGGATCTTAAAGAGCTAAGCAGAGGGAAAATACAGGAAATACAAATAGTCAAAAACTACAGAAAACAGAGGAAAGGGAGAGAATATAAAATGGCAGAGTAGAGACAGAATCTTATAAAATGTTCTGAACATAGAGATATAGGAGCTGTCACTTTCTAGGGTGTGTCTGACCTGGTTATAGGCAGGGAGGAGAGAAGGAGCTGCTAATGGCATTGAACTGGCCCCAATACCACCAGTGGACACTTCCTCCATATCAAATTACAGGCTGAAGCCAGGGGCCTACAATAGTGGGTTGGTAGTCTGAAAAAGTAGATGTCATTGCTAAATGTGGAAGTTATTATCCTCATAATCTGGGCTGGTCCATGATATCAATGCTCCAATATTCATGAAGCAGGTATTTTCTACCCCAGAGGAAAGACAATATTATGCAAATAGGCAAGACAGAGAGGCCCAGGGTTGGCCCACCTTGTCCTGGCCTATTGCTCTGCATTTCAACATTGCAAGTGGGCTTTCCAACCTCTCTCAGTGAGAAAGAACCCCTCCTTCCTCCTTCATCCTACCCCTCCCCAAGATACTACCTAGGTGAGATAAGGTGGCAGAGTCATTCTCAGTTCTAGAGCAGAAATAGGAACCAACCATTCCACATTCAAGCCCTGGCATCTCACTGATGAGAGAAGCATTGGATTTTTTTTGAAGAAACTGTGGGAAGCTGAGCCCAGGAGCGCTTCCCAGGGCACCTGTGCCAGGCACTGTCTAGATGGCACATGGCGCATGGAGCCTGCTGCCACACCACTGCCTTTTATTCCTGCCTTGCTCAAGCTTGAGTTTTGTCCATTGTTATAGAAGTTCTTTCATGCCCCAGACAAAGCGCCTTAACAATCACAAATGACTTCTATTTTGCCAAGGGCACTTTATTGTTTTGACATTAATTAATATTTCAGGAACTCTAACATGGCCAAATTTTCTGCCTAGCATCCAAGAATACAGCATAACCTATATTATCTCAGAACCTGACAAGGAAAAATAGGAAATTCTTAATAGCAGGGGAAATCCTCTGTTAAAGAATTCACAATGATGGGCTGGGATTGTGGCTGAGTGGTATAGCACTTGCCTAGCATGTGTGAGACCCTTATTTCGATCTGCACACCACATAAAAATAATAAAATAATAAAGGTATTGTGTCCATCTAAAACTAAAAAAAAAATCACTGTGATGATTTTTAGTGGGCAGAAGTTCAGCCATTTGTAATAACTGACCTCCAACTGACCCTCTGCACATCAGACCCCAGGGCCAAAGTCAGCATGTTCATGGATCACCCAGCACTGTGGTGTAACTTGTCCAGTAGGAAATGGGGAGAAGGCAAAAGGGTAGATCCTTCTACACGACTCCAGCAAGCCACCACCCCCACTGCGCTGTATTCAAGTGGCTTGCAATATGCTTCTTTAGTGAGTACTTTTATTTTTATATTATCTTGGCAATATAAAACAGAAATATAAAAATATATGTCGAACTTTTTCACACCAGAAGCAGGGTTCAGTCACCCTTAATACGGTTTCCAATAATATATTCCACCAGAATAGCTCCAGCTAGAGATCAGAGACAACTCAGAAGCATCTCTTCTGTTTATCAGGCTGGAAGGAATGGTCCCTTCCTTTAAAGGGACCATTTAGACATATGCCTGCAATTAAAGTAACCACCTCTCAGTCACTTCTTGAATCTACTGCCTGTTTCTTTAACCCACTAATTAAAGTTCCCCATGGAAAATCAGTTTGGATAGCACTCTGTGTCCAATGAAAGTAGGGATTCACAAGTCCTCTTTCTTTCCCTGCTTTGCTCCCGTGACCTCCATGTGTGTGGAGGCAGCTGGAACAGTAGCTACTACCTGAACTGATAATAAAACTCATTCAAAACAGTCCCTCATTATAATAAAAGGTCAACCCATCCAAACTCCCAGAAGGTCAGCCATTTGTAATAACTGACCCCCAAATAAGGTTAAGAAAGCAAGTTAGAATCATCAGTTAAGAGGCAAAACGTATGCCCTAAAATTCATATCATATGCTAGAAATGGATCAAAAATCTGGATTCACTCTAGTGCCAATAGAAGAGAACATGGTCAGTTAAAAGACGCATGGATCAGTAAGGGAAAATCAAACTGCTTAGGAGAGACAACTTATTCTTGGGCAAGAGAGAAACCACTTCTGTTTTCAAAACAAACTGGATCCACAACTTCCATGAGGACACCTTTAAAGTAAACACAGCCTAGTAAAAAGCATTGCTTTTGTGTGATGCTCACAAAATATGTCTAAGGCTGATGGATAAGAGGGGCTAAAGTAATTCTAAGAAACCCATATGGTATGGTGCAAGCACAGTGCTGTCAATGGACAGCAAGTACTTACGGAGCACCCAAGACTTGCCAGGCACTGATGAGAGCACTATGTGCATTAAGTCACTTAATCCTTCCCATGACTTCATGAGATGGATGCCATTTTTATTCCTATTTTACAAATAAAGGAACTAAGGCACAAAGTATTTAACAAGACACAAATGGACAATTTGCCCAGATTACTATATAGCAAATTAGTATGCTTTCTGTTGTTACAGGTTAATTGAGGAGCAGATCAAGTATAAATTTTGTTTTATATATTCTAATTATAGGATTACTCACTTAAGGTGGAAAATGTCTTTAATGGGAGAGCGGCTATATAAACAATGGTTCATCCATAATCTGAATAATTTGTAATATTTTAAAACATGAGACAGGTACTTAGAGACATTGAATAATAAAAAAGATGTAAAAAAATCACGTGGCATCATACCAGAAAATATAACCCGTAGTTATTTACATATCTATAAAAATAAATAGAAAAAGTATCCAAAATGTCACCTGGTGGTCTTTTAATAGTGCCATCTTCTGGAGAAGAGTCTGGGCTATAGAAAGTGAACTTGGGAGGTACAATCAAGGAAACATTACTTTAACCATAGTGTCTTACAAAAATATTTTTTCTTGAGTATTTAAGATATATTTTAAAATCTAGAAGCACTGCTCAAGGAATTAGGAAAGTGACTCTTGTATTTTCTTTTCCTAACAGACTCAAGGGTATGATCCTCTCCCAGTAGTTATACTGGTCCATTGGGCAGTGGTACTCAAGGCAGAGCGGTACTCAAGAGCGGCGATCTTCTCACAAAACTTGTTACCCAGCAAGCTTCTATTCAGTATTAAATAGCATTGAAATAGAGATGGTATTCCAGACAAAATTTTACAGTGTTGCCATCCTTGTGTTTTGGTGAGGTACAGAGCCATGTTTTCACTGTCTAGATAGGACTTACTTCTTAAGAAAATTTCAGCCTTTCAGAAGAGAACAGGTTAGGGTAAAATGCCATCTCCACCTGGAGAAGAGCTGGGAAAGCACTTGAGAAGAGGGCCAAGAAGAGGATCTTTAAGAATGATCTTCTTGGGCTGGGGGTTGTGGCTCAGTGGTAGAGTACTGACCTAGCATGTGTGAGGCACTGGGTTTGATCCTCAGCACCACATATAAATAAATAAAATAAAGGTTCATGGACAACTTAAAAAAATAAAGTAAAAGCCTTTAAAAAAAAAAGAATGATCTTCTGAATGCCAATATTCTTTAGCCAAAGGTGAGGATTTGAGTTTGGGTAAAGAAACTTATACTTCTTAGCCTAAATTGCCAACACATTCAATCACTTTATGGTGTCATCCTTGCTTTATAAAACGGCTGCATTATCAGGGCATAATAGCCACATAGTAATCAAAATGTGATTCCAATTTGTTGGGAAACATTTTAAGAAACAGAGTTAAGACACAGCTCCGTTTTGCTCTACTTTTTCAGAAGGTACATCTGCTCTCTTAATTCAAATAGTGGAATTACAGTGGAAGTCTTGGATCAACACTGAGGTCACATATCTAAGTTCCTGAGTGATTCCAGGTTTGGACAGTTTCTGAAAAAGTCTTGTAACTCTCAGGTAACTCAGTGATAGAGCAATAGCCTAGTTCCTCATACATGAATGAAGATTGAGAGAACCACTACCCACATTCCCCTGAGAAGAAGGAAATCAAATAAATTCTAAAGAATGCTATAAGCCAACTCTATTTCTCCCCTCTATGGGATGGCAGGTGAACTTTAAAAAGAGTTTTACC